ATATATATATATATATATATATATATATATATATGTTTGCATCCACATCACCCTCGTTTCAGCAATCCTCCTCCTGCTCTTGTGCATTTGTTATGTAGAGGCCACACCAAAGGGGAAAAGCGCTGGATTTGAGTTTCGCTCCTACCAGAGCTCACCAGTAGTGCATATGCCTACCCTCGTAAAACAGACTTATTACCTTTCAGGGGGTTATATTGTGATCACTCTAAACCAGACGCCAAATAATGGGGCTAGTGGTGGATTTCACAGTGGCCTTATGCAGAATGATATGTGTTTCGGAACCCAGTTGGACAAATGTCTATTTGTATGCCCTGAATACCATATGCCACAAATGCAGCTAGAGAACTATAAACAGAGTTGGATTAGGTTGAACTTGGTGTCTACATTTTAGGCATGGAAGGACGATCGGACAGAGTTCGGCTACTAAGTTAAGCCTAATATCCGATAGAGCGCGAAAACTTTCGGGTTCGCAACCGGGGGCTACATCTGCATCCTAAGATGGAAACAGAAATTTGGCTTCGGGACACTGCTTTCCAATGAAACAAAAGTGTTTGCAAGCAAAGGGCTCCGGATACATATATTCTATCCAAGTAATCCGTGCTTGGGCTCGGCAGAACAGACAGCCCACTAGTTTCCTTTTGTAGCACAATGGAACATGACTTTGGAAATGTACGTACTGGCGTTTCTAAGTCATTGCACCACAACGTCATGTCTAAGGACTGTAATCAGTCATTTTTTATTTCGGATTCTAAAGCGCATTGATGGATAGACACAAGTAAAGGAGCTAAGCGCATAGGTGTTATTGGGTGGTAAGTCGCAAACTATGAACGTTTTGGCTCTGAACATAAAGTACTAACAAGAAAATCGAATTAAAAGAACAAAAATGTCCAGGAAAAAGCCTGCTGAAAGTAAATTCGAAGAGAATCCACTTACTACGCCGATTAATTGATGGTACTATCGATTACCAGAAGCAAAAAATATACTTCATGTATACATCTCAGACCATGTTCCATCGACATTAAAACGTGTGTTTTTCACGAGTAAAATCAAGATTGCAAAATCCTGTGGGCTATCAAGTTTCACACATAAAAACGCCATTCGACAAATCGTGTCGCTATTCGAAACCTCAAGGGACAAAGTAGAAAAAGATCTCTCGATAAGGATGGATTATAAAACTGGATCTGAACACAGCATCATCAATTTTGGACAATTTCTCAACAAATTTTGGAATACCAAGGTACAAAGCGATGAAATCTTTTGATGTCATTGCCTTCTTTGCACCGACTGATCAAACTTGACAAAAAACGTAGTGGAACTACTTCAAAACCAACCTGATACAGTAGACCCCTGCAGTAGACCCATGCATAGCCACACACTTCAACCTAAGTTGACAAGTATGCGAGAAGCTGAAGGGAGTATCCAAGGCATCGCGGAAATCAAGACTAACTGCATAAGCTGTAATGCAGATATTGGCGCTGACTTCATTGTCGCGAGTCCGCCTAAAGCTTTGGGTCCGATATATGGACAACAATCGTTGTTATCAAATACTCAATAAATAACACGCATGAACTGATAAACAACACGTACAAAGATATCAGGTCTAGAAGTAAACTGAACTTAAATAAAAAAAATATTGCGATCACATGGAATTTCGATGGTCCATACGCAGAATGTCAGCTTTAGAAAATTGGCTTCAAAACCAATAGACGCAACCAAAATAACAGCAACTACTGTTAAAAAAGCCCAGCGAAGGCAAGACACATTACTTTGGACCAACCAATGCGGATGACGAACACAAGGCGGTCGTTAGGGTGTGCGATCCACTTTCTTTGATTCCTGTACAGGAAAATTAGGAGACTCACCATTCCAGTATATGAGAGGCGTGAAGATTCTGGCATGTGACGCAAGGACAGTTCTGAAAGCGTGATGCAGCATTACGAACTCAAGCAACTGACAGGTTAAACTGGACCCAGTCTATGCATTTCTCCGGACAGTTGAACCAAATCGGGGGACCAGAATAGTGTTGAGCCCCAGACAAGAGCACCAGACGACACGATAAAACCGAAGGACAGGTCCGGCAAAGGCGCACGATACGAATTCCAGGGCTCAAATGCAAAGCTAACCCAGATGTCTCCCAATCTAGTCACTCAAACTACTCACTGAGTCAACCAAGCATGATCGAAAGTCACGTGTATAAACTCGTGCACACCGGAATCCAAAGCACAATTCAAAAGCCAAGCTCCGCTTCACAACAGTTCACCCGTGATATCACCTCGACGGGGTTTCAGAATTCCAAGCTCAGCAAACAACTCAACCATCAAAGCTGAAAGTCACGAACAGAGCTACACCTGTGAACGGAGATTCCATTTCGAAAGAAAGCATCAAGTTGTCAAACACACTCAAGCTCTTCACTAGGGAAGCAGGATGAAAAGTGCGTCTAAGTAACTGTCATGATATAGACCTCCAAAATGACTGAAGCATTTCTCCAACCCACTGGGCGACTGTATGAAAAGCAGAATACTGGATTGGATTTGTGGACATTGAGCAGGTCCTATAAAATTGATGATACCCACCCGAATGGGCACTATTTATCGAAGACGGCCCATAAAAATATCTTGAGCACGTGTTCGCCCCACATGACACTGAAAATGAATTCTTCTACATTCGGTGCCTCAGTGATAATCTATTGTGAGACTTCATTTAATCGGCGGTCGTTGATCATTTGGCTGATGATCTGTTCATCGAGCCAACTAATTAAACTGCAGACATTTTGTTACTGAAAAAGGATATACCATCAGTGCAAGGTTGGGTGAGCACTTCATCCTTGCCTGGATGCATTTATATAGCCTTGCAAGAGTATCTGTTGTTACTTACCGTGATTGGCCATTTGGGAGAGTTAATTGGTCCGTTTGCAACTTACGTCGCGTTGTTGTCAGTCTTCCCTTGACTTGACTGATCATCTTGATACCTTCCAATTTGAGCAGTTTTCTTCCCTTGTTGGTCGTTATCAGAATACATTGCATAGTAGTCTGAAATCTTTGAGACGGTTGCCTGGTCGCTCCACTCTGTTTCCTCCAGTGTAATGGCTGGTGTCCTGCGTTCGTACGTTAATTTTCTGTATTTAACTTGGTCCTCAGGTTGAACGCCTAATCCAGCCGAGTTGATTCCTTCATTTAAATCGGGCTTTCCTGCTTCTTTCATGAGTTGTTTGTTTGCTTTCTTTCACAGTTTGAGCTGTGTAGTTCTGGCGTTCCCTTTCCCCTAGTGGTTGATAAACTTCGTCAGTTTCAATCTTTGTTGATTGTATCGTCGGTGGAGTACCATGGTTCCCGGAATTCACCTCTCTTCGTTTTTCGCTTAAGCCGGTATGTGAACGCTCCCTATTCAAACTAATGTCTGGTGTGTGTGCACCGAGATGACAGAGGTGTGGTTGTGTCTTTTAGCAGCGAATTTGTGTTCATTTATCCTGTTCGAGGGCTTCCTTCCTGTTTGCCCGACTTGCCGTCTGTCACAACTTATCTAATTTCTAGACAGTTTGTTGAAGCCGTATTACCAGCTAGTGGTAAGTGACGTGAATGACTTGTTAACATTTTTGTTAGTATTCCGCAATCTACCCATATCAGTGATGATAAAGTAGCAGTCAGCTATGACGTAACAGCTCATTCTAACAGTGTGTCAGTTGATGACTGTTCTATCTTCTAAGTTGTGTGGCGGTACATTTCTAGCGTACAGGACAACCGTATCATTTGTTGGTACTATTACTGGTGTTGAACTACGTCTAACCACCACTTACTTCACCTTTCAGAAAGTATTCCATAGACAAAATGACGATGTCGCTATAGGTTCTCCAATATCACACACAGTAGCTAGTCTTTTCCTGCGCCATGTTGAAACGAAGGCCCTACTTGACCTCGCTCACCGATAACAGATTAATAACCAAAAACTGTGTGTATAATCTGACCACGGCTTCCGTCTCCTAAAGCGCAACCCATGTCCCGACTCTCTTACCACACTGTCATCTGTAAATATGTGAAGTTCATCACATATGAGTAGTATGCATGAACTATATTTCCTGTACGCTGAGCCGTGAGGTCGCATTCTCCAATACTATTTTTTATTCCTTTGTAGACGCTGAAGTTCCTCATGGGTGTTATTGATTTCGTCCGCCGGTTATTTTAATGTGAACCATCCTCTGTCGGCGCTGCGCAGACGTCTCGTTGAGTAGAGTTTCGGTTCTTTAATGTGGTCAGGTTTATTCATGATAACCGTCAAGCGTCCTTTGTCGGCTGGTAGGAAAATAATAGCTTCACTGTCATTCATTCATTAATGCTCTATCGTTGCTCGCAAACAGTTCAAAGTTTCTGTTGTAGGTGACGGACGGAAAATGGTTTGATGGAGTTGCTGCTGAGTGTCCTCATTAGTTCCGATGAAGCCCATTCGCTCTTCTTGCCTGGGGATGGGTACTCCAGCTACGTCGGGTCTGTGAAATTGAAATAGGGTTCCCTTTGATAACCACGTTTCGTTCTGCCTCTGCAAGCTTTATGCTAGATAGATTTTTTTATCCACGCGGTGTTGTGGTGAGATTCCTTTTCCTCGCTCCTGGCAAGCCTAGAAAATCTGCTTGTTTTCCGAAGTGGATCTAACTAGTCCCCTTAGCGCAACCCAACGGCGAACGGATTGTAAGCCGATTGTCGATTTCAGTGAACAGATCAACGGCCACCTGCATACTACTAGTGAACGTACCCGAGCTGCTAATATTCCTGTATATTTCCGATGCAGGGTTTTATTCAGGGGCTTTTCACTCAGCCTCTGACTGAGAAATCTGAACAGGTTTATGTGGATTTCACGAGGAACTGATCGCGGACCTAAATACTCTACAGTCGGATGCATGAGTGATCCGGCCCGGAGGGGCAGGGAGTAACCCATAACTATTTTATTCCAACCTGAAGACATCTTGCAGTGGTGGTCAGGCCTCTGAACCGCAATCATTTTTCGAGCTATACTGGTTGAAACTAAGTTCCTAAAGGTTCAATAGTGCCAGGAAGGCCAACGGGGATCAGCACGACGAAGAACAACGAGTCTTCGTACTGCGAGTGATCGCATTACGAGGCGTTCTGGAGGTAAAGTCGTACTGTCTTCTGCGATGGGAGAATGAACGCCGTAAGGAGTGATCGCATACGAGGCGTTCTGGAGGTAAAGTCGTACTGTCTTCTGCGATGGGAGAATGAACGCCGTAAGGTGTTTTCCCCAGACGACCACAATGTCCATATTTACGGAAGCAGCGATGTCACCTTCCTCCGAAAAGGTTGACCCTAAAAAACGCGCACTCCGATCGCCCAACGGTTGACCGTGACCGCGTATTATTCAATACGGTCGAGATGCTTTTAAAACCAGAGTCCGATGCTGCTCAAAAGGCACCTTCTGCGCAGCACATCAGGACTGAGACAGTAACGCCCTACTCCCTCGGGCCGGACCGATCTCCTGCAGCCAAATGGGTCAGACTGAGTCACTGGCTCCGGGAAGGGTCCCCAAGGAAAATCCTAACAACCGCTCTCCCGCAGTTAAAAATCTTGAGTCAGTGGCTAAGAGCATGGTCCTCAAACAAAACACTACATCTTCCCACTGACTCCTGGGTCAAACTTTGAGTCAAAAGATCAGGGTGGGGTACCTCAAGCAAACCCCCTTCTTTGGATCGGGTAACCGGGAGGTATCACTCATCCTTGGAGCTACTCGCTCACCGGCCTTCACCTACACCCTCTCCACCCGTGGAACGATATAATGTCACCAACCAATCTGCCAGTCCCCTAGCCATTGTTCCGCGTCTAAGTATTCGCCCAGAAAAACAAACCAAAACAATCACTTCCTGACCCCTAAAGGTCTGATCCACGCTGCAGCCTTTAACGACCGTACCCTATGTCAAATTGGATAAAAGACATCCCTTGCTGAAACCTTGCTTTCCCTGCCTGTCAATGTATGTTGTCTCCGAAACATGCCTCAAAGACCCCATTTCAGTCGTGTAACTCAAGCCGCTTAGGAAGAACTCAGGTGTCCTACCCTTCACTCTTCGGGTATCCAGTGATCCTGACGCAACAGCCCGTAGTGTATAAGCTGTACGAAACCCAAGGTTGAAAGTGCTTTACAGGACTGAATCCCACCAAACAGTAGTCCTTGCGCAGTTGTCTGCATCAATTAAGAGTAACGCAGGTCAATGCGGTAAATGGTATTTATATGTCGTATCAGCATGCGGCCCTACAGACTGCAGTTCTGAGACTGAGGACTTTATCAAGATCTGTCATGACTGCTTCAGTCGGCTAGAACGACGGATGTAACCATCCTGGCGGGTGGTATGAATGCCCAAGTCGGACGACTAAGTCCGGAAGAAGCGCAGTTAGGTGGCAAACTTGGAGTCGATGCGGACAAATAATGGCGGACGGCCATCATCCATCGTTCCTGGCCAGTATGAAAATCCGAAACAAACTCTCACATCGGGTTACTTGAAGACCATCTCCAACAAGACAGTCATGGACTCAATCGGACAATGTAGCCATCAGTTACCAATAGAGAGCCTCAGTTAAAGATTGTCGCTTCTTCTGACTCTGATCACGCCATTGTGAGTTGAAGAAGAGATGCTCTCAGCATTCAGAACTGTTTGCTTAGGCCATCTGACTCGACCAAATAAACGCCGGATATCGTCGAGATCAACAGATCTTGTTGCCGCCAGAAAGACCATACCAGAAACAGGCTACTATGATGGCGAAAGCAGATGCCTCAAACACCGAGTAGCAAGGAGCTTGATGATTGACAGAGAGCGCTGGTGGATTTCGAAGGCCCAGGAGATAGAGGAGGCTTCCGCTGCAGTCAACAGCCGCAACCCAATACAGTTGATTTGATCAACGATCAAAAGAAGGCAAGTTTCAGTGAAACAATATGTGAAGACGGAACCACAATTCGCTCCCTCAATCGCCGCTCGGAGCTTTGGGCTGAACACATCAAAGACTAGTTCGACTGCTCTCCTTCAACGCAACTGTTGGAACAACTCGGAGGACCCGAATGGAACATTGACATCAACCTTCATCAACAACGGAAGTGCAGCGTGGGATATCAACCTTAAAGCGCCTGGATGGTCTGCGACCCGCGCTCCTGGTGAACGACCATGCTTCAGGAAATTTGGAACGAAAACACAATACCATCCGAATGGAGTTCCCCGACCGTCACCTAAGTTTTCAAAAAGGACACAAGAACGTCATGAGAAAACCATCGCCGTACCAGCCTGTTAGTGATTGCATCTAAGTTGTTCTCTGGCATTATTTTGCGCAGGTTGGTGGATTATCAGGAGAAACAGACTCGTGAGAATCAAGCTGGGTTTCGCCCTGGTCGAGGATGCATCGACCATATCTTTACCTTGAGACAAATTCTTGAACAGCGCCACTCTCTCAGATGTCCCACGTTGGTCGCTTTTCTGGAGTTGAAAGCTGCTTTTGATTCTGTCGACCGTCAGAAACTTTGGCAGTGTCTGGTGATCAAAGGTGTCCCTTCCAAATTTATATCCCTTGCACACAGTATGCGAACTCCTGTGAGTGCGCCCGAGTGTACGGCAAGCGCTTGTTTGAGTTCACCACGTCCGGTGGTATGAGAAAACGTTGTTCTCTCTCAACTTTGTTATTGATGTGCTGCTTGGGATTTCTCTCGTTGCCTCCGATCATCGGGATTCGAACTGCTTCTTGGAAATTCACTGAAGGACAGTGATATGCTTTTCTTAGTTCAAACCCTTCCCAAATGCAGACGAGTTTAAACAATGCACGGTTTGGCATGCGTTTCATATCTACAAATTGTAAAGTGCTTGTACAAGGCTGCGTGGGGTGAAGCTTACACCTTATGCTTGCAGGCGAGCCAATCGACGTGGTAGATTAATTCGTTTACCTGGGCAGCTGAATACGTTTCGGCGGGCTGGCTGGAGATGATATTACTACCCGAATCCAAAAGACCAGGGCCAAAATCCAACACCTATGGTGTATACATGACGTCGGTTTATCTGTCAAGTGTAAAGTTTACACTGGCGGTGCAATCCATACTGCTTAATAGATCAGAAACGCGATCTCTACATGCAAAAGGTATACGGTAGATGATAGTGTTTGACTATCGGTGCCTCCGAAGCATTGATCAAGGCTGGCGGGAACGTCAAATTAGCAATGCTAAGGTACGCCTGATGGTCTTAGGAAGAAGGAACTCTCCAGAGATAAATGAATTACTCACGCTCCGTAGGTTACGCTGGTTGGGACATGTACTCCGAATGTCAGAAGACTGTCTGTCTCACAGAGCTCTTTTTTCCAGCCCTGAGCTGAGTGAAAGCGACCAACAGATGGATAGTGTATGGTTACGAAGCACGAAAACACTAACCAGTAAACTTGGGTCGGCAACTGTCGCCACCCTGGATGGGAACCCCGGAACTCGACTGACTAATGGTTAATGACACTGGCAGAGGTAGCCCAATCGCGCAGTCGGTGGCAATCATGCGTCAAAGCCATCGTCTTCAATGCGTAGCCACCCGATTTCCGAACTAACTGAACACGCCATCGCCTCCAAGGCTTGGTTGTTGTCCCACATTGACCCTTTTTCCGGTGATCGAAACTATACCAGCTGGAACCAATGTGTCTATAGTACTCGATTTATAGCTGATAAATCCATTCCTAAGGCACCTGAGCATAACAAGTACTTTTGGAGCAGGACAGGACTATTTAATTTTAAGAGTATTTCGACCGCATTGGGCAATGTGCCTGCGGTCACCGTTGGCCATTTGGCGATCGGAGTGTGCGGAGGCTCGTTGTTCGTCGTAATCCCTTGATTATACTGGCACGGATGAACCCCAAAAATAGAATTCCAGACATTGTAACCCGTAGGATCATTGCAGCACCGAAGCCTGACCACAACGACAAGGTGATAACTTTACATCCGGGGTGGTTGATATGTTCACCAAGCTTGGCGAGTGAGTTAGAAAGGTTTCGTTACCATTTGAGGAGAAATTATCATCACGAGATGAATGCGCACTGATGCTGTTTCCTCGAATGGGGACGAAACGTCTGAAATCAGTTCCCATGTTCAGGTAACACATCGTCTGAACTCCCACACCGAGATATCCACAACGTTAGCCAAGTGCGAGCAGCTGAAACAACTAAAGAGAAAAATTATGTCCCATCATATTTAATTAACCAGAGCAGCTATTGGTTTTGATGTATAGCAAGGTTTTCCCGACGGAAGAGCAAGTAAAGACTGAGACATACGAACAAATGCAACCTGGAATTAAGTGAAAATAGGTGAGATACCAGTACAATGGTTCCAAAGAAGAAAAGCTCGAGACAATACCCTATCCTGAAGGAATGTGTGCGGCTCCGAAATGTGCGTGCCGTGTCACTGAACTTCGTAAACGAAAATACACGTTGATGTTAGGGGAGCTTAAATGTACAGAAAATAAAAACAAGTGTGTGTGTGTGAGGGAGATCATTGCTGACGAACAAGTGTGATGTGACCCAGGTGGCAGGTTGTGATTTAGAAAGATATGATAAAGCCGTGAAATTCACAAGGTCAGAAAAGAGCGGAAGATCGGATTAAAATGTTTGTTGGTGACGTATAGAGAAACGGAAATGACTGAATGAACCAGGAATAAGGTACAACTATCACAATGATGTAAAATATGCGTTCAGGTACCGTTCGCAAGATTACCGTCATCATCAACTGATCCATTGTCTGATTTGTTTTTGGAACAGAAATGGCAAAAGAGATGCGATCGCCAAGAAACCAAGTGTGTACATTGAGGTAAGCGAAGTCATGCCGAAGTCAGTGAGTTCTTGCAAAACGGTACCAGCCTTGACAAAAACCAAGGACAGTGGGACGACACCTGTACGACAGGACCGGGAGAGGAAGGATATAAAGCAAATGGTTACTACAATGAGAGAAACTGTTAAGGAAACGTCTACGACTTAGCTATTCCCAACTACAAAACCCGATTTGAACACAATAACTAGAGAATAATAACAGGACATCAATTAGCATCGTCAACCATCATTAATGCTTTCACCTCTTAATGGAAGAGTTGTCAACCTGTGTAATACGACTTTGAATGTTTGTTCGTAAACAGTTGTTTGCCAAGTTTACCGAGGTAAAAAGACGGATCAAACCTGAGAAAGATTTGTGTGTGTTCCTGCTACCCAGTACAAAAACCTTATGCAATGAACCAGTATGACCTCCAATCAGAGTACTAAGACGCAGTAGTTGCTAGTCAACCGCCGCAGTCTACAAGAAGGCTGTCATCGTACAAGTAAGTTAGCCGCCGTAGTTGATTGCTCACCCAAAACAACATTGTGGGGAGGTCTTGTAGACATCCGAAATAGCAGGCGCAGAACAAGGCGAGAGATACCTAGGGCTCTGGAAGTAATTGGGTAAAAGTGGGCACACCAGCATCTTTTTCGATGAAATTATAACCGGAAGTAGCTGATAAACGGACTGGTATCGTAGCGAGAGACAGCTACCACGATCGTTGCGACTATTATAAACAACAAAATTTAGTTTGTCTAACTGTGATAGGGCTAATATTCTCGATTACTTGATTACTCTGTGGATAGGTAGGAGGCGTTTCAGTAGTTGACGTTTCCCAGTGAGGTAGAGCTAATCTGTACTGAAAAGCTCAGATTCTCAAGAGAGATTAGAACCCACAACCTTCCAAATGAAAGTTGGAAACTGTGCCATTTGGCTACAGGCGGTTGACCGGCGGGTGAAGTATTTCACCCAGATGGGCTCTTGCACCAGGGAGGTTGAAATACTCGTGGTGTTGTATCTTGTTTAGGAGCGAGATACGCAAAAGACTAGTGTATCACCGGTCTGTGAATAGTTAACCTCTATCCGGATTATGGGTACTAAGCCCCTTCGAGATTCGTGAGACAGTACTGTTGTTAGATGAGAGTGCATCAGCTGTGTGGCCACGATCCTCATCGTCGCAAGTACCTCCGCCTCCCACACACACACACACCTAATAGTAACAACTACCTCTGATTGTGTCGGGTATGGAAAATGCCATGCAACAATAGCTCTTTGGAACTCGCGGCAACCAACCGCAACCGGAGAATCAGAAACTCTCGCAAACAATACATAACCGAATTAGCATAGATCTATGGAAGATTGAGTAGGGATTCGGTCATTTATAAGCGAACCTAATAACAACCAAGCTTGTCAGTGTCGAAATATTGGTAGCTCGGATGCGCTTAGCGGTGGTTGGTCAGATGACCGTATTCGCCTAGCTTGGTAATTGACCTGGGTGCGAATACGAAACACCTCCGTCTTTAGGTCAGTTTCTTCCTAAAAACGATTCAGTCGCCAAATAGTCCATTTCATCAGGTAATCGATAATGATGATACCCACTGCCGAGTTCAGAGTACTTCTGAGGTCAACGAAGTAGGCGGCAACGTACAAACATCTTCATATGATCAAAAGGACAAGAAATTCAAGCGCAGTTAGTCACGGGACTTTTACAGAATCACACACCACACGTCTACCAGCAGTTTCAGTTTCCAAATCCCAGATACACTAAAATTCGTCGACCACTGAGATTTCTCCTGTAAATAATAGACCAACACTAGACAATCAAAAGTGATGATTCATGGTGGAGACGGTAGCCAACTAAATCACGGATCTGACCGGTTTGATAAGCAGAAATAAAGGAGTGTAAACAAACTTATCACGTCCGCAATTCACGGACCGACTGTTGACAGATCGACAGCCACTCCAGCTGATCCAATCTCAGAGAGAACAAAACAGCTTTAGCCCAGATTTCATTACTACCTGACCAGTGTGGTAGTGTTGAGCGATTGATGTTATTCTAAAACCATGTGATAGGAGTGGCCATCAAGTGATTACATGAGTCACGTGATGTGGAATGGCCTATTATTCCATTACATAGCACCACTGAAGGATTTTCTGCCGATCGATGAGCATGGGCATAGGAAACAGGAACGGAGACGTATAAATAGCCATCACGTAAATGTCTTCACAGGTACAACGTACAGCCGTGCTATAAAAGGGGTAGAATGAGAGAGGTAAAGTATCACGCCAATGCTCTTAACGGCAAACTCGAATTCTTAGTCATTCTTGTCTTGCTCGAGGTTACTCAAAGAATATGTACACGCATGTTCCAGACTAAGAATTCTTCGCCCAAAAAGCTATGCACTATTGATGCTGTTGAGTTGACAGTAAGCAGTCTACCCCGAGGATACGTCCCGTCTGGAACGTCCGCCTAGTCAACAGCGTCTAAATTTTATCTCCACATCAGAATCCCCCGTTTTACTGATACACTCATTATTCTCGTTTACTGAGCACCCAACTGATACTACTACTGTCATACCAATAGCGTTTGTCGGAACATTCGAGTTACGTCACTAGAAGCCCTTCCCACGAAGAAATAATGTTGGTGTCGTAACACATTTGTCCATCGTACACCCTGCTCGAGGAAACAACTCAACCTGGACTTGGAGACACTTTATGATTTCCCCAAAATGGCGCCCAAAAGGAAGCGAATTCCTCCCAATCTGATAGCATGTGGCTCTTGGAAGCCATAAAGCAACTACACAGACAAACAGACATGATCTCACCATCAGCTTTCCGAGAGTAGCCTTCTACATTGGACTAGGAGTACTGTAATTGTCGATATCGTTTTCGCTGTTAGTTCTAACCCACATTACGAGTACCTTGGAATGCCTATCGTCGGTCAGCGTCATGTACCTTTTTCCTTCCGTCCTGTTATTAGTTTCTAAGGAAGTGAGTTAGCACTGTTTTAAGGTGGGATTTGCATGCTCGGCGCTGCAGTTGGCGCTATTGATGGATCCTGGGGAACAAAAACCCTTTTACCTAAATGACAGTGTTACTTACATGAAAATTCTTCTCTAAAGAGCTCCAATGACAGCAACCGATAACGGTCATGATTATCCCAAACCCAATAATTTAATTTAGCTGCGCGCATACAAGTGTGGTATAAAAACATCGAAGACAAACAGGTTTGTAGTTGCTAATGACTAGATCTTCCATAAAGTCCGTGAATGACGCAAACACTATAAACTGGGGATCTCCAAAACAGAAGGCCTTTGCTCGTTCTAAGAGAGCTTGTACAGACTCTGGAGACCGACAGTTACCGTCCCGGGACTCGATCCAAAAAATTTTGGAAACAGCGACCATTCTAGCGCATTTTACAGAAAGGTCTAAAAAAATCTGTTAATTACACGACTGCAAAGCAATTATCGATATGCTCCATAGATGTAAAATCTTGAACAGTAAGAACATGCACGACGTAAGAGCAGTTAAAACGGCGCCCTTAATGGAAACATGTCTTAGAGGAGGAAGCACATCTTTTGCTCGAGAGAGTATGCATGGCCAGTGTTCAGTCTGAATCTGAACTCAGTCTCAATCTGAACTTGAACATGGACCCACAAAGACTAAGGAAAATCTAACAGCGGCACCCGAGGCGAATCATCAAGTGAAGCACTCTGAAGTGGAAGATTAAGGAACGAAAAGCGATCGGAACTAATTTGGAACCCTCCAACACATCGATTCACGATTTTGGCACCCACACTAGCCGACAAGAGCCGTTAATTGACACTCAACACTGATTTAGTCTGAAGAGAACTTACTGATTGGTTCCCCGTCTGTCTTATAACCTGGCCAATTTTGTGACATGTTCACCTGGCCTGATGAAGCTTTTGTGTCAAAAGCGAAACGCTGCCCAAATAAAAACTACCGATTGTTTACCAAGCTCTTCTGAAATGTTTTTGATCAAGTTTGGTTCCAGTTCAAGGTCCTTCAATTAATTATTCATCGTGGGTGCCACCTGTAGATTTCGCTAGTTTGTGTTGGCTTGTGAGTGCTAGGAAAACTTAGTTGGGGAGTGTGATTAAGTGCCCTCCAGAGCATAGCTACTCCTGTTGACGACTCCTTTTTCTGATAACCATATACCACGAAATGTCAGCTCGGCTGATATAAAACCGTCCCCCACACACTTGCCAGTTCTATACCTTCTATTCGACTTACACTGGGATGCTTGAGAATTTCTACCGCCTGGGTCATCAGTCTGTGGCGTGGATTGTAGTCCTAAATCTACTTTGTGTCTTATGTCCAGTGCATGTTTCAGCATTGCTGAGTCTTGCAGTAACACTCGATATTCATATGCATTTCTCGGTGTGTTGTTTACTTTTCTTATGTGCTCTCCCATCCTGGCATGAAGTTCCCTGGCTGTCTGTCCTGTGTAGACCTTAGTATAGCCGTTGCATTCAGTTCGATAGACACAGTCCTTGGATCCATCTGATGGCAGGCGATCTTTCGATTGCACCAGTCCAGAGCGCGTTGTTATTCTTCTGGAAAGCTACGCTTACATTACTCGTGTTTGGAACTTCTGAAATCCTTGGTTTATATGGAATAACAACAGTAAAAACCCCTGCAATTGAAGTCCAGTCAAACTAGCTGGATATACACTACCCCGAAGTTTGATTTTTGCTTCAATTTGGACTGTTCTCCTTGTGCACAGGGACCTAAATCGGTTAAACATTGATAAGGCAATACTGGCGAGTACTGACTTCGGATGGACAGACAAACAGTTCAAAATCATCTGAGCATGAGTTTGCTTCTCATCCACTGAGATCTCTACCTTTCTCCGACTTTGTCAGACAGTGTACCCAAAGTTGACTCTATCTCCATACTAAATTTGATGTACGGACACAGTTTACTCAGACAGTTGTAAAACTCACTGGTCTTGTCTCGTTTCATCACGACGGAAGTGTTATCTGCACAACGCCAGAATATCTTGGGTGGGCATAGGAATCCGGTCAAAGCTTTCTGTTCAAAATCCCCCATAAATATGTTTGCCAAAACCAGGGATATGGGAAATCCCATTGCTATACGTTGTTTTTTGAGTATAAACCACAGGGTCGAAGACGAAGTAAGATTCAGACATGCTTTTACACCTTCCACTGTTTCATCTACCGTAAGCTGGTTCGTTCTAAAAGAATGGTGTCTATTAGTAACAGTCGCTTAGTTATCTCCAGAGTCACCTTTTGGCACATTTCCACACGAAGAATTGACATCGAAACTTACAAGAATGTCATCCGATCCCACGGTAACACCCACTACTTTGTTGGCAGTCGTATGAACTCTCAATGTAAGTGCATTTTCCGGGGAGGGGGTTTAAAATACCTGCCAAGAATCTGCCAGCTCATCGGGTGGGGACCCTATTCCGCCTACTACAGTCTTACACCTTCCCTGTTTCATCTACCGTAAGCTGGTTCGTTCTAAAAGAATGGTGTCTATTAGTAACAGTCGCTTAGTTATCTCCAGAGTCACCTTTTGGCACATTTCCACACGAAGAATTGACATCGAAACTTACAAGAATGTCATCCGATCCCACGGTAACACCCACTACTTTGTTGGCAGTCGTATGAACTCTCAATGTAAGTGCATTTTCCGGGGAGGGGGTTTAAAATACCTGCCAAGAATCTGCCAGCTCATCGGGTGGGGACCCTATTCCGCCTACTACAGTCTCGTCAAGAAACCTGCTTTATAGCATACAGCAGAATAACACACCTGGACTAACTGAGCAGTCGAGTACGATAGCATTGAAAAATGGACAAGCAGAATATCCAGCAAACGAACGAAAACTGTCGAAAGTATTCGGGTAGGCTACCATTTGATCGGGTGTTACTTTTGGAATGGCTTTTCGGTTATACATAACGAGTTTTCCATTCTATACTTTCGATGCAACTAGCGCCACCACCTGGTCATTTGTGCTGCGCCGCAAAAGCTGGGATTTACACGCTAGACTGTATGCAGAATGAAATTCACGTTCGATAAAGAGATTCCTTCTGTGTAGGAACAGCAGAGACAGTATCAGCTCAATGTGAATAACTTAGTGATTGGAGGGCAACGGAAGCCTTGATGGTCTTCTTTCCGGCTACACAGAAAGGAATGGTGTTGAAGTTACTGGCAACGAGGATGATCCGCATGTCTCGAGAGTCTCAACTATAGATTCCATACTGTGGGGTTGCAGTCTGGGAATTGCCTACCTGCTACTGTGACCGATTTGCGGTTATAAACCTTTTTAAGTGGCATCTGCGTTTGTGTGATCGATACAACCCGAGGAAAATCGGGACAGCATGATCATGATAAGAGCACAATTGTGCGGCATATTTTCCTCATGAAACCTTGTGTGTGTGTGCGTGAAACCTCGTGCGCCTTCTGACTAATTCGAAGAAAAAACGTGAAGATTAATTGGATAGACGTCCTGATTACTGCCCACCTACCAAAAACATCCTAGAAAGATATCGATGCACGGCACATCTTATGGAAAATCAATCCCTGAACTGGACATATGTATTGTCTGTCCACTCTACGAACAACTGTCGTAAAGTGGCTGACCTTAGTATCAGTTCAGTGCAACGGCGGTCACGGAGAGAATGGACTTTACTGCGTCGCAACAATTTGTGTGCTTCCGTGACCCAGAATTCACTGGGGGTGTCCAGCAACACTCGCAGTTTCTTACACCAGCGTGGTCAATGGTCAGAGGTCTGACCAACAGTCTCGTGGACCTCCAGGTAAGGCGTTGGAACATGTATGGCGACTCATTCATTAAAAATGATAACGCGGATGCATTTTCCGCCAAATACCGCTGCCTTGTGGATTTGAGCCAAGGGCAACAGTCAAAATCGAGCCATGTCACGTTCACCCATGGAAAAAGCGACTGGCTGAATTCTTCAGAGGTCACGCTGGAACTGGACAGTAAGCTGGCATACATAAAATCAGCAAGTCTAACGGTACGGTACCGAAGCCTTCAAGTTAAAACGGAATAGCAATGCCGCAAAGTTAGAGTTGCCGGAAATGGCCGCAACATGAGGAGAATTCCGACCTCAAGCGAACTGTTTGTGCGTTTTGAAGGATTAGCTAGGCTCTGATCACCGTTTCTACTCGTTTATTTTGTTACAGTCGCCTTATCAGACAAATTGACCAGGTTCACAATGGGACCTAGGCCGCATTCATTAATGCAATTTAATGGACAATCAGCTCGCAACAATCTAAAGTACCGTAAAAGTTGTCTATTTTTGGTGATGAAAGAATATGACACCAGAGATGCTGATAACTAAATTAGTCACACATTCAATCAGTGACCACAAAATACCTCGAACGGCAGCATGTTACCGCCATCAGGACACCACTGTCGAATTGTTTCACTAGCTCATACAGTTCTGTCTACCTGCCAGTTCTTCGTCACATGCAGGGACGACCCTTGGTGATCATTCTGGACCTATTATTACAGGTAGATCTTTTCCCAACTTTAAGCGAAAGTCATATGAAGGCTAAATTCCATTAAGTCTGTGGCAAACCGATCAAAAGCGCAGAAATCGTTCTCGTGGAATAAAACTATTATTCCTTCACTGGGATATAAAACCGAAGTCGAGAACCAGTCGAAAAAAAGGAAATTTGACTGTATCAAAGAACTTACCAACAAATGTACCCCAGAAGAAGTGCAAAAGAGGTATTTCCACAATTGGTGAAGATACGTTGACCAGCCAATTGGGCACCAACGGACAAATTCGAAGCAAGCAAATACAAAAGAACATGGCATGTCGATGGCGTTGAATCTGAAGTGGTAAGATATGGTGGCTAGGACTTACAAGCAATCGGCATTGTTCGATTTGTTTTGGGATCAAATGGAGAAGTAGCTGCGAACCGATAAATCCCACTAACAAATAGCAGCAGGTGGCACCGACAGCAGAGCACTGAAATGAAGAAAGGGTCAATCGACTTTTGGTCCACTCTTACCAGTGCCACGATTGCCAACGCAATCGGGAATGGAAACAGGTAGCCGAGTAAAATACTGATCAGCACCGAGCCGGGGATCATGAAAGATTGCAAACTAATAGCAGTTAAGGAATTAGCTTCAAAATGATTATGTTTATAAACACTTGGTTTATGTATTGTAACGACCGCTACATTCTAGTTTCAATTGAGTTCTGTTGCCGCACGAGCACAGCAGTAAAATACACATAAGTGGTTCTTTTCTCCAACTATCCCAACCGTGTTATACCATGTTATACGTTCTATTTCCCTGACACTTGCTACGACCTAGGTCTGTTTCATCCAAAAAGACTATGAGGTACACTAATTGAAGTGTTTCAGTGCCCAGGTCTGGACTTTCTTAAACAGCCGAAAAAAAAGAACAATTAACCAATATCAGTACAGAGCCTTGGGATTACACGAGTCTCTCATCCTTCAAAATCCATCAATCAAGTCCCATGCTTACAGACCTGTTCCGACCAACCGTCAACAACTAGGGTCTTGAATGACATCCGCTTGTATACTACAACCTTTGTTACTGCACCGGAAAACGTCTCAGAATTGGGAAAACAACCCAGTGAACTAATTCAGTCAGAACATCTGAAACTGACGAATGCACACGCTTGGCTCATTGAAGGACTATCATGCTTCACACCGGACACTAGTCTACCTACAGATCATTCAACTTGTCTTGTCGAATAGCCAGCCGCCTTTCAATGATAAGATTTTCAGACCGACTATAGAGGTCTATTAGCCCTGCAAGCGCCGACTGTCTCCCAAGTACCCTAATTTGGTTGCTTCATTGGCTTGCCAAATACGCGTTGACGGTCAAATGACGTCATGCACTCGCACGAATCCTGAGATTAGCTCGTGTGTTTGCGCTTACAGTCATGCATACATGCTCGAGTTTTGTGAATGAGAGCAAACTGTGGCTGTGCATAGGACCTGAGTTCAATTGCGTTAAAAATACTTTGGTGCGGAAAAACGCAATGTAACCGGGTGTTTGCAAAAGTATAAATTATTACCACTGTTTCTGCTTTGTCTTTTCAGTTTAGCTGGGTGGTACAAAAATCACCCGTCCGTAATGACCTGCATAACTATGCGGAGGAACCCGTCTCAGAGTAATGCTCGATCGATGCATCCCTGGCCAAAAACGGAACCCAAGCTGATTTTGTGCCTTCCCCAGTAATCAAACAGCGTGCGTAAAATAATGCCAGTGCGCCTCAGATTTTAGTTTACTAAGGTCATGCAACGGTGGTTCTCACATAACGTTATCGCGGAACCAAGAAAACCACGTCTCGCGCCTAACTACATACAAAGATTACACTAATACGTAATAATGTACAGAAGATTCCGTCAAAAATCAAGGAGTTGGTTGCGACAGCACTTTGTTGAAGCAACTAGAAAGTTAGCCGAAACCACTCTCAAGACTTTGACTCAAAACTCCAACCGCCAGGCGGCGGTGTTTGGTGGGAAATGCAAATGCATTACCATTTCACCATACGTTCCAACCTCCAACCTGGAGGACCAGGAGGCTGTTCGTCAGACCTCTAACCATTGATCAACCTGGTATGAGAGATTCTGTGAGTGTCGTGGGGACGACCCTAATATAGCTCAATAGGTCACTGAGGTGGGCAAACCCTCACACCACGGTAAGGTCCAGTCTCGTCGTGACGGTAGCTGAAATGATGTGAGGCTGTTCCCTACAATGAAAGTCTTCTCTATCTTCTGGGCCTTCGAAACCCACCAGCGTCCTCTGTCATAATTGAACTCTTGATTATCTGTGTTCGTCATCTCAGTCGCTCGTTTCTAGTATGGCCTTTCTGGTAGCCATGAGATCTGCTCATCTGGACAAAATCCAGTATTTAGTAGTCAGATTAGTTAGACAAAGTTTCGAAAGCTGACATCATAGCTCATTTAATCCGCTTTCATCCCTCCTCCAAGCAATCTTCATCAGCATGACTGCGTTTTCAGATTTCTGGCCAAGTCAGCTCAATACTCTTGAGCCACTGACAATCGTCGAAGTGGAACGGAACTGTTCTGCTTTAGCACCCGAAATGCTAACGGAAAGCGGTGTGGTAAGCGAACACGCACAAGGGCATAGTCAGAGTCAAGTTGCGTTTCCGGAAAGGAGCGAAAATCCTTTATTGAGGTTCTCCATCAGTAACTGATAGCCCTATGGTCAAACCCAGTCCACGACTGGCCCGCGGTTGATGGCCTCCAAGTAACTATGTGTTGGAATTTTGTACTGGTCAGGAACAGATGATGAACAGCATGTAACGGGAGCAGTTACTCCCCATTATCCGTACGCTAAGGATCGACTCCAAGCCTACCGACTAATTGTGCTTCTTCTGGACTTAGTCGTCCCAATTGGGCATTCGTGTCACCGGTAGAATCACTATATCTGTCATTCTTGCTGACCGAATCAGTCGTGACAGATATTGATGAAAATCGTCCTTCTCAGTCCCATAACTACAATCTGTCCGGGCGTATGCTGATAGGACAAATAAACACCGTTTACCGTATCGACCTGAATTGTTCTTAATTGGGTCAGACAAAAAACAGCCCGAAGATGACTGCTTGCTGGGCTCTGGTCCATAACGCGCGTTCAGCCTTTGGGCTGAGTGCAATCCCCACATCGTGGATACCACGAAACATTGCATTAGGATAACCGGATACCCGAAGAGTGAAATGTGGAAAGTCTGAGCTCGTCTTAAACAGCTTGAGATGCGCGACCAAAGTGGAATCCTTTACGCAAGTTTCTGAGACACAACACATATGGACAGATGGGGAAAACAAGGTTCCAGAAACAGAGGCCCGTTGCCCAATTTGATATACAGTATGCACATTAAAGACTGCAACATGCATCAAATCTCTTGAAACAAATAAGTGATTATTTTCGCGACGGTTGGCAGATGGATTGATCGCACTGCAGCGTTCGATGGATGGAGAGCAGACGTAGGGATGGAAGGTGAGCGAAGAGCTGCAATGGAAAATAACACCTCCCGGTTGCCCAAACTGAAGAAGGTTGAGGTACCCCACCTTGATAATCCTATTCGAAAGTTTGACCTACAAGGCAGTGGGAAGATGTAGAGATTTGTTCGGGGACTCCGCCCGTCCTGTGACTCAGGAGTCTGAACCGCGAGATAAGGGTTGTTAGGGTTTGGGGGACCCTGCCCGGAGCTACTGACTCAATAGTCTAACTCACCTGGCTGCAGGTGACCGGTCCGGCCCGAAGACGCATTGCTCTCACAACTAACACGACCGCGCAAAGCAGGTGCCTTTTGGGCAGCACCGGACTCTTTGATCTGAAGAGTATTTCGGTCATATTGAATAATGCACCAGCGATCAAGGTCAACCGTCCGGCGGTCAGAGTGTGCGGTTTTGGAGTCGACATTTTCTAACTCGTTCTTACTCGGGGGAAGACAGCACCGCTGCCCCCATAAACATGAACAAGCTGGCCACCTGGGAGAAACACCTTACTGCATTCACACTCCTGTCACTTTACCCCCAGAACGCCTCGTACTCGCTGTTCTTTAAAAAACATCCAGCTACAGCACCTTTTCGGTGCCTAGCTGCCATGCCACCCGAAGATAGCACGAGGGCTGGGATACCGCCAGGTTGCCCAAGCCTAGACAGGGGAAGTCGAGAGGCAGAGGTCGGGTTCGAACCACGGACCTTCCGGTCAGTAAATTTGCCCTCTAACCACTGGGACCATCCCGCTGTTCTTAGTAAGACTGCTTCCCGTTGGCCTTCTTGGCACTGTTGAAACCTTAAGAACTGACTTCTAGCCACAATAGCCCGAAGGTTCATTGCAGCACAGAAGCCTGACCACCTCAAAAAGGTGTCCACTTTAGGTCTGGAGATACCAGTTGATTCACCGCCACTTGCGAGTACTTTTCCAGGTATCATCCTAGGTAGAATTACCAGCATCCCGGAGGTAAAGTCGTGGAAACAAAAAAGGATTCCGTCCAGATCGTGTGCGGATTGACATCATTGGCTTAAAACTTCACAAATATCGTCCTACATTATCATTAGCATCATCAGCGACATCAGTGCCACTAGTGCTGCTTCATTGTCGTACAACGATAAAGCCTATTTAGTTATACCTAAAGCCTTAAACTGAAAAAGGAAGGACTGGACAGCAGAGGGACCTGATGATACTCCATCGCAAGGGTTCAAAGAATCCTAAATGAAACCGACACATGGACGAAATGGGTTCGCCGCCATCTCTTGCAGCATCTCCAGGTACACCACACATACAAAAGGTCAATAAGTAATGTCTTCCTAGACCCAAAGGTAGCATACGACTTATTCGATCGCGCCGTTTTGTGGAGATTTCTCTCCATCAAAAGTAGTTCGAACACTTTCGTCATACTTTTCCAATCCACAAAATCTAACAACTATGGGGATGTGAAATTCTACCGCGAGTATTCTCCTGGGTACATCACCGAAAGTGGTACATGTCATGGTTGCTCTTGGTCGCCTTTTCTGTGCGAATTTGCAATTGAACTACTTTCCAAGGAAAAATTTGTTAAAACTTCTACATCAAAAGTGAAGCATATTCCCGTAAAAAGCCTCAAAGACCTGGAGAATGCTGCTCTAGGTACAAAGTGTAATAAACAATCTAAATGGTGCCACGCTTGATAGCAAGCGGCATGCACCTTCAAAGTGCAGAGTGCTGTTAGGAGACTGGGTGAGCGAACCACCACAGTTGACATCAGAACTGAGTGGAGAAGTAACGATGCCGAAATGTGACAAGCAGCCTCTGGCAACAAATCCAGCTGATGAGTAGATTTGGAAGCACCAAATACGCTGATGCGGTCCCGCGATCTGAATACCGAGTCAGCATCACAACGATTGACAGCATAAAATCAGTGTTCAACACTGATGCGCCGCTGCCGTACAACCATAATTTACTTGAAAGCCCCACTGTGAAGAAACGAATGAAAGCAGATGGGGAACTGTAATAGCCTACGAAGAAACCTACACTTCCAGACATACAATCAGGCGATCTGTGTACAGATTGACAAAAAGGCTATCAATCAACAGCCCCATCTCAAGTCGAGATCACACGAT